TGGTGATATTGTCATGATTGGTAAGAGACACCGTATGAAAGTATGATGGGAGCTTAGTGAAGCTTTCTTCAGCCGTACCTCTTACGAGTTGAAGTGCGTGCTCATGAGCCTTCCATCTCTTATAATAACTGAAGTCCATCCCGAATTCGTCACGGGCATATTTCTGAATTGATTTGGGAACCGGACCCTGTTTGACGCCTATAAATTGGTTTTTCATGCAACTTCCAATAACGGAGTACGTTGCTTGCCTGTGCTTCGCTGAACGCTTTTCTAACGAGCAAGAGTGAACACCATTATACTTGCGGATTACAAACATGTTCCATAGTCTCAGTTTGCAGGCTCGGATACGCCACACACATTTCGAATCCACATACTCTACTACAAGCACGTCTTTATTTGATTTTGTTGTTCGAAACTCAAACTTCCCCTTTAAAGCTATTAAATGCAGCTTTTCCTTCAAATCATTCTTACTTGTAAAGTACTGACCAACTTCTAAACTAAATCTGTCACTGAAGGTAGATCCATGAGATGATCCAAACTCAGTCTGGTCAATACAAACTAAAGGACCAGCAACTTCTACTTCATTTAAAATGGCAAGTGGTTGTGGCTCTAGCTGTGGCTGTGGCTTTGGTTGTGGCTCTAGTTGTGGCTGTGACTCTGGTTGTGGTTGCGACTGTGGTAGAATATCATTACGAGTCGAAAAATCATATGTAGCTACAATATCCATAAAATCACGATAAAAAAAATCGTCATGCAAAGGATTTCTCCTAATTTTGACTCCATCAATATGTTCTTCTGGATTCATAAACTTTTCATCCACTATCACGTGTAGCGGTACCTCGTGGGCTATATCCCTGATGAATAACAAATCATCATTGTCTTTTATTACAACGGGCAACGATTTCTGTTTCAAATTCGGTACACACGATAACTGCAAGGAATGTTTTTATCCATCAATTCCACATTTTCTACAAATCTTATCAACGAAAGTTTCGAGAGTATCCTTCTCATCCATATATACGCCAATTAAATTACAGTCTGTATGCCACACCCAACAACTTTCATTCTCCTCCCATTTTCCTCCAATGTAAAAAAAAATCCTCTACTGAGGCATTATTTAGATTTTAAAACTGTAAAAATTTAATAAAGATAATAATATGTCATTAAACCAAATCAAATATCTCACGAACAGACTAAGAACATACCATATAATAAGAACATACCAAAAATAGACCATATAATAAGAACAAACCAAGAACAGACCAAGAACCGACTGTGCAATAAGAACAGACTAAAAACCGACCGTGCAATAACAACATACCAAGAACAGACTAAGAACTGACCATGTAATAAGAACATACCAAGAACATACCATGAACCGACCATGTAATAAGAACATACCAAGAACAGATCAAGAACAAACCACAAATCGACCATGTAATGAGAACAGACCAAGAACCGACCAAGAATAGATCACGAACCGACCATATATAAGAATAGATCAAGAACAAACCACGAACTGACCATGTTATAAGAACATACTAAGAACAGACTACGAACCGACCAAGAACAAACCTTTTTTTTTTCTAAACCCAGCAGATCTTCATCATATCAGACAATGTAAACTGGTCTTTTACCATGTAAAATTACTATTTTAATAAATTTTTAACATTTTTAACTACATTCTCATCTTAAAACATATGAACAACAACGAAAAACACCATAAGAGATATAGAAAAAGAAAGACGTACTTAGTAGCTCTTCTTCAAACTTCGTTTTGGACGAGAAAAAAATGCTGAATGGGCAAGATAATAATGTTAATGAGGTTGTGCGACAACGATGACTTGAGAAGAAGAGAGAAGAAATGGAAGGCGGCTGGGAGAAGAAAATAGCGCGAAATGGAAGAGGAGGAGGAGAAAGAAACCCCTAAAAGCATAATTGATGACGTGAAATAACTGATGTAGAAGTTAGCCTATTTACTCAATTTATTTTTTTGTGGTTTATTTACTTAAAAACACTTTTTATTTAGTCTAGACAAAGGGCCCTCTTCTGTGGTTGGTCTATTTTAATTTTTTGGTCTTTTTGTTGGTAATTTTTTACTGTATAACGGATAGGGTTTTCTAAAAAAAAAAAAAATTTTAATGCCTTATTGTCCTCTTCAGTTGATTCTTTTGTCTAGAAAGGGTTTTTATCTCATGTTTCGATCCTTTCTGTGGCCGATTTCGTGCAGTGTATAGGTGAATATGGATTTTTTTCCTACATTTATTGACTTGATGATCTGTACTATATAGAATGGTGATTTGTACTCCAAGGTTGATGATCTGTATTTATTTTGTGGCAGAAGTATTAAAAGAGTTGCTGATTTCTTCTTTAGTATCTGAAATACGTAAAAAATTTGGGAAAAAAAAAAGCCATGAGCCCTTTTCTTTGGCCTTTTTTTTCCTCCTTTTTCTTTCTCTGAATTAGTTATTATGTAAGCTTCATTTCCATTTTTTTTCCTATTAAATTGGTTTTATCATTTAATGAAAATTTAAATTTTGAGTTTCTATAAACCGACTTTATGGCGTGTGATGCTCTTACAGGTCATGCACCTTCCAGTTTGTTCTCTTGCTCTTTATTTATAAAAGTTGTTACTGCATATGAATTTGTTTTGTGTATCACTGTTTTTTTCATGCATATGAATTTATTTTGTGTATCACTGTTTCATTCCATTGCACTTTACTTCTCCTCTTCAGCATTTGACTTTTGATCATTTATTGCTCTACTTCATTGTCAACCATTTACTGCTCTATCTTTCTACTTCTGCATTCTTTCACTCTCTCTGTTCACATTTGGTTGGCTGATATTTCATAGTTAAGACAGTATTTACAGCATTCCAGTTACTATTAATAACTTATGCTTATAGCTCTTTAATTTCTGTTGCTGATATTTAATACATAGATTTGCTGTGGTGATGTTAAAGTATGTTGTCTCTGTTCTATTATTTGTGTTCATATATGGTTTTATTATGTTAGTAATAAATGTTGCTAATGTATGGTACTTACCAAAATTTTGTAATCAATTTTGACATGTTGAGTTCTATGTAAGTTATTCAGAAATTGCTGTGAATATATTCCTTATTTAGGTTGTGATTTTGTGTTTCTTAACTAAAACTTTTTGGCTATTTCTCCTTTGTTTTTGTTTTTTTTTTTTTGTTTTGTTTTACTTATTCTCATGCTTTTGGCTTTTTCATGTTAGTATTTCATTGAGAATTTATTTTCACATACATTCGTTTTTTTTCTCCTATTGCTGAGTTTTGGCTTTTTCATTCTGTCGACATATTTTACTTTTATTCTATTTATTATATGGCGATAATAATTACAATCAATTTTAACATGTTAAGTTCTATATAAGAGAAATTGTTGTGAATGTCTCCTCACTTGGATTTTGATTTTGTCAATCCTTCTTTACTAAATTTTTTTGGTTATCTCACTTATAGTTTTTTTACTTCCTTCTTTACTAAAATTTTTTGGTTATCTCACTTATATTTTTTTTACTTAATTCTGACCCTTCTTCTTGGGATTATTTACACGTACATTAGTCTTCTTTTTTTTTTTGCTACTCTTTTGGCTTTTACTATTCTATCCAGCATTCATTCGTTCATACAGTAACCTTTCTTTTGTGCTGCTGGATTTCTGTTTGTCAATGGTTTTGATTGATTTTAGACTTGGTGCTTCTGGCTTCAGTCTGTCTTTTGAATTTGAATTTTTGACTTGGTGCTTTTGTTTTTCCCTCTATTTTTTCTATTTTTTTTTCTGTGCAGGGGCTTTTAACTCTTTTCTTGTCCTATAATATAATTGTACACTTGTATCCTTAAGTTTTTGATATGATTGTACACTTTTGTCCGTAGTTTTTTACTTCTCCAATTGTTTTTGAGTTGGATCTGGTAATTGTGATCCAAATGAGACCCTAGGCTTTATTGATTCTTCAATGTCTTCATTATGGCCCCCTTTTTCATGCCGTTTGGCCAATTCTGTTACGTTTTTATCTAGTAAACTTTATTCCTCCTAATCTTTTGTCATTATTATCATATTTTTGCATTGCTTCTAATTAAAAAAAAAAAAAAAAACAAATGTCGTAAACTTGCCTTTTTTTCCCCTTCCCTGGCTTTGTAGTCTTCTTATGCTTTATAGTGTGATTTTACAGTTTTGTCCTCAGGTTTTTGTTCCTTCGGCTTAGTTTGGTAGTGCTGTGAATTTTAGAAAAATTGTTTTTAGTTGTGCTGAAAGAAAAAACAGCTGTTACAACAAGCAACTGAGTGTTTGATAAACTATAATTATAATAACTGTGCTGGTTCCAAAATCAGTGTAATAGCGTTTAGTAAATTTTGAAGTTGAATTGTTGTGGATATGTAAAATGACCAAAATAGACATGGTATGAAACTTAAATATATATAATTATTTTTTGTATTTAAAAATATTTGTTTAACTTAAAAAAAAACATAATGCTATGATTTTGAATTTTTTAACAATAAATTTATGATAATTAATTCTCTTTTTTTTTATTTCTTCATTCATAATATAATTACAACTAAAAAGAGCACTAGTGACAATATGACAAGGACAGTTGCAGTCTTCGAGTTGTGAAATTATTTTGTGTTCTCTCTCTTGCAAAGCTTGGTAGGAACAGTTGCAGTCTTGATAATACAACCAAATACCATAATTATCAATTTTGGTGGGGTTCTAAAAAATCTCCAAGAAAATATGATAAATTTATTGAGAAATTTTATGCCAAGAAACAGGCTAAGTCAAATGATAATTAATTATAGGACCACAAATAAAAAACATTTCAAACATATTGATATCCATACACACAAACTTATGTAAATGAGCAAATTCACACATTGATATCCATACACAAGAAAAAAGAGCAAGCGAAAATATCTCTTCAAAATACAAACATATATATCCATACACACACCACGTATATACCTACAAACACGTATATACTTACAAATACAAACTCTGTTTTCACCTCTGGAAACGATAAGTAGTAAGTAAACACAACAGAAAGCATCTAACATAATAACAATTATCCATGTCTTGCGCACGAGAGCTTGTCTTGAGCAAAAAGAACTTGCCTAAAAAATTTAAATGCATCACCAGCTACTAATTTTTTGGAACTGACAAAAACACTTCAGCCAGTTGTGAGTAAGTGACGTCTAGGTTGCCCTGCAGTCAGTTGTTCCAAGATCAACGTAACAGAAATAGAGGAACTTACTATCATCATAATAGGAGAGTAGAAAAGTCAAAGGCATTACAACAATAAAAACTCATTGAAGCATGAAAATAGAAAAAATACAAAATCCCACTATGCAGAGATGCCAGGCCATTGAACTTCTTGGGAAAAAAAGAAAAAAAAAATAACAGGCATATTAACTTGACCTACATATATAATTCACTGAAGCCTCCCAACTTTCCATCACCACATAGTGTTCAAACAATTCCTTGAAAAGTAAAATGAAAGATGCTAGTGCAAATTGTGACTTGACATCCAGCAAGGGAGACAAATAGCTAAAACTCAAAATTGCTAGTGCAAATCGTATAAAGAAAATCAAAATTGTATGTCATGCTGTTTAAAAGAAACCATACTCCAATGTCCAAAGGAACTCTCAATAGGGGCAAGGGAGGTACATAAATAGAATAATATATTTACAAAATATAAAACACAACATAACAAACAAGGAGACAAACAGCTAAAACTCTAGAGCTACCGGTGGTGGCAGACAATCATCCGCATGCCTCCTGAGGACAGAGAATCCGCCATGGGTGCTTGTATCAGAAGCAGCCAGTGTCTTGCAAAATGAATGCACAGTGCATTTTGAAGGTTCTGGAAGTGGAGGATCAGGGCTAGTAACCTCGCTTTGCTGATCCAAGAATATGAATACGCGTAAATCAAGTAAGATTACATGCGTTTGCTTTGCAAACAAATATGACTAAATACTATGCAAACCACAACGTAATAATTATAGTTTATGTAAACAGACAAATAGATAAATGAATTCAAAATTGGCTCCGAAACTCATAGAGCTAAAAAGGCATGAAGGAAAAGAAAGGCTCACATCTTGTTCTGGTAATAGAGTAATTTGTGCGTAAACTTCATCTGTTTCCATTTCAGCCAGCACTCCAAGTTAAAAGTAAAACTGAGTAATGCTCGCATCAAAACAAGCCATCCACTTAAAAAGATTAATCACGGAAGAGCATAATGCATCGAAAAAATTACCCGAAGCTGAACATTAAAAACTTCACAAAGAATTTTAGATGGGAGATTAAATGAAGGCATTTGCTGCTCTTGCCCCTGATGCATAGATGCTTCTAGCTGTATACACAAAAATATATATGTGACGTAAAGGATACTAGGAGAGTAAATGAAACAGAACATAAACAACCAACAGAGTAAATCTTCAGATCTGAAATAAATCCATCATATTTTTTGTAGATATAGGCTTTGCCAATATTTTCTAAATTCAAGACTACAATACGAATATTAATGACTGGTTTATGGTCGTAAGTTATAATGCTTTTCTAGCAATTGTAACAAATGCTTTAGCATCGCAGTTTGTAAAATATTCAAAACTAAGTCTAACCAGGTCAGTCCAACACTTGAAATAGCAAATGAATTTGTACAATAAATTGATTGAAGAAACTTCATACATACACAATTCTAGAATTCCCAGCTTCTCACACACACCACAATAAGTGAAAATCAATAAACATTTATACAGAGTATAGTGAGAGAGAGAATTCACCTCCAACGATAAAATTGGCGTCGTCGTGAGGTGCTAGGCTATGGAAGTTCAGTTTAGAAGCTCCGATCGTCTGCTTGATTATGCGAAACTCGGCAAACGAAGGATTGACTAATCAAGAAATGAATCGATTCGCGCATTATTGAGCAAATCCAAGAAGAAAAGGAGCATAAATGAAACCCTAGATTGGGGAAATACCTGAACCTGAAGAGAGTGAAATCTGGATTAGCAAAGACCAAAACTTAAGGCCGGAGTTCTGCGGCCACGTTTGGGCGGTGACCGGCGTCTGGCCGGAGCTCCAGCGGTTGAGCATGCCGACGTTGAAGCGGCGGGGGAGATCGTAGAGGAAGAGGAGAGGAACAGGACCGCGAAGAGCAAAAATTTTTTGGGTCTGGAATTATTTTCATTCAGCAGGGGTAAAATCGTAATAACGAAAATTTCATTAAAGAGATTTTTAAGATTCCCGCACAATCTAAAATCAGAATCAGCCCAAAATTATTTCTGATTTTAGCTTCAAATTCTCCTTAAATTCTTTCAGAGCACTTTTTTATGCTTTTACCCAACACAAAAAATAGGTTTGACTAGCCTTCCTTTGTTATTTGGTTGGGCTTTTTTGGTCATTTTGTGCAAATAAAGTCCTACGCCTTATTCCTTCTTCGATTTTGGGGGTTGTTCTTTCCCTCTCCTTTATTTCATCCGGTAGTTTTTAGACAATTTTATATTTTATTTCATTCAATTATTTTGCATTACATATATGTTATAATTTATGTGTCAGATATAATATTTTATTAATTTTTATATTTTTGTGTAATTGCCATTAGTGTTTTTCATTTTAATGAAAACACTTACATAGGCAGCTACAAAGTAGTCATAAATATATATATATATATATATATATCAATTATATTTGTCAAATGTTGCTGAGACTATTAGATATTTGAGCCACAACCATTATATAAAAATATTACTACAACTATACTTTATGAATTTTCTTTCTTGATATATATATATACACATATTTTTTTTCCATTCATTTATTTATTTGTTCATATTTTTCCAGAGTTTTTAACTTATATTTTTTTTCCTTCAATGAATTTTATATAATCAAATTTTGTTACAGAAGATTTTTAAGGACTTATTCGTTTGTATCCAAACTCAAAAAAAGTTTAAACTCAAGTTACAACTTTATTTAAGTTCATGTTCTTTTGTAAAATTTGAGTTTTAACTTGAGTTTTGAGTTAAAATCTGAGTTTAAGTTTCCCCTTCAATTTAAGTTCTTAAATTCAAACTCAAGTTAATGAACCGTATTTTTTCTATTCTTAAAAATGCTATAACTTTTTCGTTTTAATTTCGATTGAGATGATTTTTTTATGCGTTCACAACGAAGAGACGAATAAAATCACACCCATATATCATATTAAAATTTTTCATCATCATTGAGTTTTTATTAAAATATTATCTAAATACAAATTTAAGTTTTGACCCATCTAAACATAAACTCAAAAAAATTCTCATCTTAAATTATAATTTAAATGTACACAATTAAAACATATTCAAATTACAACTTCAATTCAAATTTAACTCAAGATTTAAACTCAAGTTATCATAACTCAAAAATGCAACTGAATAAGTCAAATTGTTTGTTTGTTCATCTAGGGAGGAAGCAGCTATAGAGCGTGGAGATTTATATTTATTCCTTTATTTGTATATGAGTTTAATTTATGTATGATTTTTTTTTTGTTAATTTGTTTTTTACATAATTATCCGTGAAATTGTAAATGTTGGATTTTTTTATTGTAAATAAATGATTATTGTAGATATTTTAATATTACTTTATTTGGAGTAAATTATAGTTGTAAACTAATTTTGTGCCCGCGCGTTGCTGTAGGAAAAATTTTTATTCTATTGGAAGTCCAAAGTTCTTTTTGGTGCAATATTAGTTTATATATATATATATATATATGTATATTTATGTAAAATGTTGAGAGAAAAGTACAATATTAGTATATATACATATACATATATAGACATAGGTATATTACATGCTTGTTAAAAACTTTTCATTGGATGTTACATGTTGAGAGAAAAATATAGTATTAGTGTATATATACATACACATATAGACATATATATATATATATATTATATGCCTACCAAAAACTTTTTGCAGGATGTTATATTGTGTGTTTTTTCTTTTTTTTTGTGCTTCTTCAGAGTTGCAAAATAAAATTTTTTTTTAACAAAATAGTGCTAATTTTTTAGAAGATTTAAATAATTTTAGTCATATAAAGTATTAATTCAAAGATTTTGAGATAATGATATTATTTGCTTTTTGTTCTTTTTCTTGATTGTTCTGCTGATCTTGATTCGGAACTAGAATCATAATAGAAGATTAAGATTCAGAACTGGAATCATAATAGAAGATTAAGATGCATATTATAAATGTTAAAGTACAATATTCATTAATAACTGATGTTAACTTGTAAATATGCTATACATGGCTGCTAGTTTTGGGTCTATTACCGTGGTGGTCGGCATCTGTGGTGGTGGCAATGCTGGTTCTATTGCTGTGGTGGTCGACATCTGTGGTGGTGGCAGTGCAGGTCGAGTATCTTTAAATATTTTAGAAACAATTGTAGATATTTGTGTCTCTCTTTGTTGGAAATAGATTTGGAAGATTTTGTTTGTCCTTTTAATTGGTCAATTGCTGGTGGAATTATATATGGATCAGTAAAACCTTCATCAAATTTTAGTGCAGAAGAAGACTTCTTAATTAATGCTTGCGCTGCTCTTCCAAATATGATGATTTTCATGTTTTCAGTAGTATCTTGGATTTATGCGTTTAATCTATACTTGTAACATATGTAATAATAATTTATTAATATGATAATTTATTTATTGTAATTAATAATGGTATATTAATTTTATTAATAATTTACTAGTAATTTTTGTTACCATGGGATGTGTTGTGTTTAGATGACCGTGACTGTCACACCACCAACCATGATTTGTTTTCTTTAATTGTCGATAATATATGAGATAGGAGTTATAATACCATCCTTGATCTGTTTGAATTCAATTATTGCAGCTTTTACTGTGAATTTAGTGCCCTGGATGGATAAAGAAGCATTATTAGTTTGAGTAATTTGATTAACAAAAGAATAGAAAAATAAAGTAATACTAACTTGATTGTTTTCTGCATCTAATGTGTTTAGCTCATTGATTGTTCTTCTGTTTTTTCTTTTTTGTTCTTCGATCACCTGGGTAGATGTTATTGATGCTGGTAGGAACTCGTGACTTTGGTGAGAAAATCTGTTTAGAGAAAAGCAAAAGTATTTATATGATTGAATAATATGAATTTTTAGATATGGAGAAGGATAATATTTTTTTTTTCTAAAAAATATTTCGTATTAGTTTATTACCTTGTCTTCAATATTTTTGTCTCTGGTATGTCTGGATTAATATAAAAAATTGTTGCTGTAGTACTTGATACATATGGATTGCCTAAGATATTGATATTTATTTAGTCAGTATTTTTCTATAAGGATTCTGTTTATGTTTGTAATTGTTGTAATTAAGTTTTTAAAACATACTTAGATATTGTTTGATGGACATTGCAGCAAAAATTGCTAATGTTGGTGGTCCAATAGATCTTATTATGTTTTCATCAAATTGATATGCTTTGTGCCCCTATAAGGTGACTCGTAGTTGTTTGTTCCTGTTAAAGGAATAAGATAGCAAAGATATCTTAGAATGGTAACCTTTAGTAATAAAGGAGTGGTAGAACGTGTTTGAAATATATTTACCTTATTTTTTGTATGACAACAGTGCGTCACGATGTTGATCTGCTGCCGATGTTTGCTTGTTCAATTGCTTGGACACTTGTAATGACTCCAATCACATCTGATATAAAATGCATAAAACTTGTTATCAATGTGTATTGACTGATCAACAATAATTTTTTTTTATCAATTAGGGTAAATTATTTGTGTTACCGCTTAAAATTTTGATGGTGTTAACTCTTTGTTGTAGCTGATCAAATTCAATGAAATAGAATTTGTGGAATGGGATTGGCGGTGGTTCTTCTGTAATTAGAGTGAAAGAAGTTGCTTGTGCGAATTGGAGCATTACAATGTGTGGCACGACTTTGTACGTTGGCTTGTTCTGTGTAACAAAGAAATTGATGTCATATACATTACTAGTGCTGGAAGTTCAGGTCGGCGGGCTGCCCAAAGCCTGAATTTTTTCGGGCTCGGGCGAGCAAGCCCATTTCCCACCCGCCCAAGGTAGATTTTCGGGTTCGGGCTCGGGCAGCCCGAATTTTGCATTGACTCTTTTGCTCGCCGCCGTCTAATCGCCGTTTACCGCCGTCCGCCGGAATTTTTTAAAATTTTTCCGACCATGCCCGAACTGCCCGAATTGCCCGACCCGAAAATTCTGTGTGCCCGAAGTGCCCGAAAAATGCCCGAACCCGCTTGCCCGAAAACTGCCCGAATGCACGTAACAGCTACTTTTTTTGAATTTTGTCCGAATTCTAACCGAAAACCTGAGGTGCCCGAATTGGCCGAGGTGCCCGACTGCCCGAATTACCCAAAAACGGCTAGTTTTTTGAATTTTTACCCGAATTTTGCCTGAAACCCGACCTGCCCGAGGTGCCCGACTGCCTGAATTACCCGAAAGGGCTAGTTTTTTTATTTTGCCTGAAAATCCGAACTGCCCGAGTGCCCGAATTTCAAAAAATAGCCGTTTATCCCAATTTTTTTTGAAAAAAAAAATTATTTTTTAATCCCAAAATTTCCTTATAAATACCCCCCATCCCCCACACATTTTTCTCACTCAAACTCTCTCAATCCCTCTCAATCTCTCTCACAATTTTTCTAAAAACTATCACATTATCCTAAAGCTCTCTCTCTCTTAAATCCATCTTATTTTTTTTATAATGGATCCTTTTGGTTATAGTGGTATTCCCGTTGATGCCCAACACAATGTAGAAGAAGGGCAATTTCCCACTAATGAGTTTGTTACGCAAGAATCTACTAATCCGAGCCATGGTGGACGTACTGGAGGTCGTGGTCGCAATACTGGTGGTGAGCATGGAGAAGCGGCGAGTGCGACTGTGTCTGCGTCTGCGGCGACAAGGGGTGCAACCTCCAGGAGGAAATGCAAGCGTACCTCGACAGTTTGGGATCACTTCGACATAATTGACGAGGTGGATAATGAAGGTAACAATAAACATATAGCTCAGTGTAAATATTATTTATCTAAATTACAAGGTGACACTATTCACAGCACCACACACTTAAAAGTGTCTTCAAAAGCTTAGCCAATCTAGCGGACCCGAACTCCGCCAAACACAATTATTTTTTGATCGCACAACCGGTGGTTTAACCACTTGGAAATACGATCCGTAAGTAGATTGTATAGAAGTTGCGCGAATGATAGCTGCTTTTGATTA